CAATCCCGCTAAATACAAACACAAATCCATTCAAAAATAACTCTTCTTACCCAGTTTTCCAAGCTGAACACGAATCTGAACTCAATTTGTGTGATTTCTAAAGATATTATATCACTGTGAGAGTAGAGTCAATGGTCACCGTAATAGGGTTGCATACAGTATGGTCCATGCTAACTTAGCACGTCTGTATTTTCTCCTTGCAATTTAGTGATAAAAAACAAAGTGAATATACCTTTTCACTTTTTGAAGTACACATAACACTCGGATTTAAATCCGAGGTTTTCGCATTTATTTAATAATAACTCGTCTGAAAAGAACTTTCTAAGGTTAAGTTTTATAGAGTACCTAGAATAATTCAACACATATTTGTTTCATAAAAAATTAACTCAAGGGAAGTCCTGAATCCAGAAACATAGGCATTTTAATTCTGTGAATCCATGCGACTAACAAATGAAATTGCTCATAGAAAGTTGTTTATTAAATTATTGTTGAAATTAAGACAAATAAAAAAATAACATTTGCTATCTGAAGAAAACTGCCATGTTATACAAATTCAATTATATCTTTGGAAGCTCATCAAATTCATGTTCGGAGAGAAGATTTATGTATAATCAGTAATAATTTATTAGTCTCAGAATGCAACGGACAAAAAATGCTTAATGAAGAATCATATGAACTCTTGTGAATATTCTCTACAGTTAATTGATATAATGGTAATCTTTAAAATGAGTCTGTAACTTTCATAAAAATATAAAAAAGTTTCTTTTTCCATAATCATATTCCTTCTTTCGATGAAAGTTAAGTTTATCGCGAAAGAAAAAATAATCTATGTATACGTAGTTGATTCGAATATATTTTCGTTCACAAAATCTTATAATGTGTTGACTTTAATTCAATGAAATATATTTTAAAAAAAGATTTATATTTATTTTCATTTCAATCAAAGATACATAAAATACTGATGGATGATAATCCTGTTACTAAAATAAAACGATTATTAGCTATGTGACACATGCTGATACAGAAAATTTCTTATATTTTTCCAAATTACTTAGGTAAAATGTTAACATATTATCAAGTATCGCCACAATATATTTTGATTTTTAATTATACTAAGTAGTTACGTCTTGTGTAATATCTATTTTATTTTAAATATGAATTGATTCAATTAGAGAAAATAATCATAGGGAAATTTTCTGCTTTAAGTTAAATTTCTTAGAGAAAATCAAAATATAAAATCAATTTTGATCAATAAATAATTCTTATGTTTAATTTCTATTCATTCGGTTTTATATTCTATATATAAAAGGGTATCATTCTATTATCATACAATCAATTTCAGGTCGAATGATGTTATCTAATAAAAAGATCAATTAATATATTTTAATAGAAATTATTTAATTTGAAAAATCTATACATAAATAGTTGATTGATCTCTTCTTTAGATAATACTTTCGAAAGTTTTGAGTAGACACAGAAAAATATTTTCTCAAAACCAATTGAAATATTCCAGTTGTCGACTTTCTTTTTGAATGAAATAATATTCATTTGATGAGTAGTAGAAAGTAATAGAGAATTGTAGAATGATTTGATTTTCTTGGTCTTCGTTTTTGAGATATTGAAATTTTCCGTAGTTTTTCAACAAAAAGCAGTAGACTCCTCAGGACGCATAGAAAATCGACTTCCGATTTTCCACTTAAAACTTTGCAGGAATAAAGTTCTTAATGAGATTAGTTGATTGTGCAACTAGTATTGCCTTTCTGAAGACGTAAATATATGAATGAAATTTGTTTTAACACATGAGAGAGTTTCAAATATTTAATATCTCAGGATAGAAGACGTTAGAAAAGTTATCATTTGTCTAATGTGCTTATCTCATTGAGAACTTTGTTTATGCAAACTTTGAAGTGAAAATTCGAAAGTATACTTTTCACATGACCTAAAGGGAACCACAGCTTTTTGATGAAAATCCAATAAAATTTTGATATCTCAAATTGAGAATTAATCATATATATGATGAAAAGTCAAGACCAACTTCAAGTGACAGACTTTTAAGAGTATGAAGTTCATAGCAAAAATAGATTCCATCCATTATAACACGATTTCCACTCCAGCAAGCAAGATTCAGATGGTGCCACTAGCCTACGTGCCTGATCTATTATATATACATAAAATAAATTACGAATTTTCGGCTGTTTTTATTCATGGAGCTGTCTGTGTACTTATCCTGTTTTGATTGATTATTTGAAAATTTAATAGATGAAATTGAAACTAGGTTTGATGAACTTCTTAAAAAATACATGAGTTTTCATCGCAATCAAAGTGAATTTGTTCAATAGATATAACATAGAGTTTCAGTTTATGTTTGGTTTTGTTATAGAGACATTGCCCCGTCTTGGCACACAATAAGAATGACTAAAAAGTTGATTGTGTTATACTTAAATGATCTCGAGGTAAGAATACATCAAATAAAAATAAAGATCAATATTAAGGCATATTAAAATATAATATGTCGCCTTTCACATTGTGTTGAAACAGATTTTCGCTACAATAGCTCAGTACATTGTTTATGTGTTCGGTTTTATAATAGAACTCGTTAAACCGAGTGTTTTTCAATTAAGAGTGTGAACGAAGGCATGGAGAGTATCTAGATAAGATCTACTCACGTAGCCTTACCTCAATATGCTGAACTCTGTAGATATATGACTATGGAGTTGAGTATCTATTTCATTACACCAGATTCACTGAAAACCCTCAACTGTATAGGTGTACGGATATCGAATTAAGTATCTGTTTTGTTACACCATATTCACTCAAGGTCATTAATTTAGCGGCATATGGGTATCGCGAATTCATTAAGTGAATATTCTAATAGCTATGTGATGACTTATAACTGATATGAAATGCATAAAGACAGAAAGAATCATCAATAATTCATTTCAATGATATCACTCATTCAACCATATCATCACATATTATCATGCTTGCGCTGTGCTTACTTCTTTCTCTTTCCTTCTATATACAACCCTGTGAGGTAGCTTTGTAGACCTTCCAGAAAGATCAACGTCTTGTTGGAACATACAGAAGTGTATGAAGAGGTCTCTCACATACAGGGTGGGTGTCGGTTGAGTGTAGTTGAAAAGAACAGCCGGATCCAGGCCCTGCATGACCATAACTGCATAAGAGTATTTTTTTTGTTTTGGTATAAGTATTTCCAACTAATTGGACATAAAAAATTCTCTTTGATTTTTCTTTTTTCAAGTATACCATTAGAATCTTTTATAACAAATTAATATATCAAAAGAATATTTTATGAATAAAAATAACGGATTCATGAAACTTTTTTGGATTTTGTTAAGTTTTATAAAAGTTCAATTGACTAACCATCTAGAGTCTGAATTTCTCAGAAGAAAGACATATCTAAGCGTGATGCTCTGATGTTTGCAATAAGACCGTGAAAAAAAAAGATAAGTCAGGTCTATTGGGATGCGCTACGGTCATACATTCGCTTTATTAGAAAATCTATGAGAGTGGTTGAAGACTACTTAGTCGATCTATTTCAGAGCTTTCAGAAGAACAGTCATGGTTCTAGGATGGCATACACTAACGAGTTCGATAGAACGCAAATAGGAAGAGAACAACTTTGTTTATCTAATAATCACATTTGAATAAAAAAAAAATGCATGGCAAGAAACTAGTGTAATCGTTTGGTAGGGACATTCTTCCCCTCGAAACTTCAATGAAAAAAATGACAAACTGATTCGAAGTCTATATAACATGGATAAATGTTCATCACTATTCTCTGTCGATCAATGAAAACTGCAGACGAATAACTACATGATTCGCTATTTTGCACATATGTGTTTTTCAAAAAATTTATTTATCAATATGTCTGATGTATTCAGAAAAAGAAATCAATGTTTATTTTTGTTTTGCTGTAATTCATTCGCCATTACTTCGGACATTTTAAATTTTTGTGCTTTACCCGTCGGTGTCATAATGAATTTGTCTACAATTCGTATATGTGTCGGTATTTTGAAGAAAGCTAATCGATTTTTAAGAAAATTTCGAATATCTTCTACTTCACATTTAGGTGCATCAGGTTTCAATCTAATCCAAGCACATACTTCTTCATCGTATCGTTCGTTTGGAATGGAAAAGACTTGTGCATCTGCTACACATGGATGTTCAGCAATAGTATTTTCAACTTCGACAGGATAAATTTTGACACCACCACGATTAATAATATCTTTTTTGCGTCCAACAAAATAGACATAACCATTTTCGTTCATTTTACCTTCATCACCCGTTCTAAGCCATCGCGATGATGTAATGGTTTCTTGTGTTTTCTCGATATCACCATAATATTCAAGCATCACCGAATGACCTCTTGTCTGAATTTCACCTGATTTACCAATGGATACTGTATTGCCTTCTTGATCGACAACTTTTATTTCTAGACCTTGCATTGGTCGTCCGATCGATGAAAGACGTTGCTTGACATCTTCATCACCAGCCCACATACTACAAGTTATGATACCAGCAGTTTCAGTCATTCCATAGGCTTGTGCCATACGTGTGATTGGAAGCTCTTTTTCTAATTGACGTAAAAAATCAATATGCATTGCATTTGCTCCTGATAAACCGAAAACTAATGAAGTAAAATTGTATTTTTTTCGATCCGGATGCATCAATATATCACGAAAAATAATCGGTGCTCCTATAAGTGCAGTACATTTTTCTTCATGAATAGCACGCATAGTAGATACGGTATCGGGTAGAATATCCGGAAAAGTGAGATGACATTTGGCAACTGCTGCATTGAGAACACCGACCATTTCTGAGAATATGTGAAACATTGGTATAGGAACACAAAGACGAGTAAAAAATTGACCGAAATGTTCCCATTGACTACGAATCAGATTGATCACACCGAAATTAGTCAATGTTGCAGCCTTCGGTTGACCTGTAGTTCCGGAAGTGTAAAAGATTTCAACAGGTGCATCAGGATCAATCGATGCTTGTCGTTCAATAAGACTTTTGTGTGATAACTGACCACCTCGTTTGATTAAGTCTTCATATGAATGTACGCCCGGTATTGATATTTGTGTACCAGTTAAAATCACATGTTTTAAAGTGGGAACTGTTTTTGCTGAAAGCACGTTAGTCGACGAGACACTTTGGCCGAGTTCCGGTACCAATCGACGAAAAATCTCAAGTGTATTGAACGATTTAATCGACGGTGAAAGTAAAATACCTTTGCAGCCAACTTTGTTAATACAATATTCAAGTTCTCGTTCAACGTAAGCCGGATTGATGTTCACCTAATTGTTAGATTAAAATAGAATAAGAATTCAAAGAGAATTTCTAATCACTTTAATTAAACCCAATTTCGAGGCTGCATAAGAAATGGTCACATTTTCGGATGTATTTGGAAGCCAAACAGCAAAACGATCATTCTTTTGGAAACCTAAATCGAGAAGCGAAGCTGCTATGTTATCAACTTCTTCTTTGAATGTTTTATATGTGTATCGTTTTTGTTGACCTAGTCAAATAGAGAATTGATGAGAAATAAAAAAATAAAGAGCTATGGGTTTACTTTTGAAAACGAGACACTCATGATCAGAATATTTTTCAGCTATTGCATCGAAGCTCTGACTCAATGTTTTGTAAACCATTGGGAATGGAGCTGCATGATGATAATAACTGGAAGTTAATTTTCTTGTAGAATTATTTCGCTTTTGAAATCCGATGATGATCCAAACGTGTGATGGACGAGCGATCAAGCGAGTAGTTTTCAATAGAAACATCTCTGATACACATAGACAAATAGTCAGAAAAAAAAAACTGAATATTTCAATTATTATCTCAAGTTGAAAGTCAAAAAAGAATTCTTTTATTTGAAAATGAATATTCAGTGTCTGATATGTTTTTTTTTTATTATGCTAGTGAATATAATAATCGTAAGTACTTACATGATGGAAGAACGACAAGGATATATTTAAGCTAGAATCTACTTCATTAATACAAAGCATTTCACCATATAGGAAAAAAGGCAAAGAGCGAAAGAAAAACAAAACCAAGGAAAAGTTGCGTTACATTTTTTTTTTCGAGATATTTTCTATATTTTGTTCGATTGTCAATTTTAAGGATAGTCTATCCGTCAATCTAAGGTCTAACTCTATTTAAATTCTTTAACCAATTCGATTTTTTCTCTGTTCATTGTTACATTCACTATTGTTCTTTTTACTTGTGTATGAAATAACTGTATCTCTGTTTTTGGTACGTTTGTCGATTGTTTCCATCAATTTTAGTACTGATATACCTGATTGCAGATTCATGTACTTTCTTTCTCTTGATATTGAATCATCGAAACTAAATTTCTCATGATGAATAGAATATTAAATATGAGTTTCTCATTATATGTGTACGAGAAATGAGATTTTGTAAAGAAGAGTTCTCTACGAACATGATTGCTTTACCAATTTTATTAATAAAAAGAATAGAGAGCACACAGAAAACTATATATGAGACTATTACTCAAATAAAAGACTTTTTTTTTTTCATTAAATAGATATTGAAAATAGAGACATTTTNATGGCCTATCTACTGATATATAATTCATTTGGTTTGAATTAAGTAACAAGCACATATATGTAAAACTTGACAACCAAAAGATGCCCCTATGTATACACAGAAAATTGAAGAAGTAATCGGATCCTGAACTTGTAAATACCTAGAAAAATCATTTGAAAACCATAAGGTATACTTTCTACCATCATTTCCTTTGTTTCTACCCGAGCAGATCATTAAAATTCTATTGGGCCGATTTCTGTAGAAATCGTCCCCCGTCCTTTATTATCTATTTATTTTTACCTGTTTCAAGAAAATTATTGTCTTTTGAGCTGTATGAAAAGCTTCATTAATTGCATCAAAAGATGAAGTGGTTACTGCTTGATAAGGATTTGTACAATAAATCGAAAGTTTATCAATTTTAACTACTGATATTCCATTATATTCATCAATAAGTAATACAGATGTTGCCTGATAGGCATATGTGGATTGTGTATCATAACTTTTCAATTCAATCCGAAGATCTTGAACACCATGCAGTGTCGTGCGTTCTGAATAGTACATACAGATTGACGGGTATTGATGATGAATTTGACTATGTACTGGTAAAAGTACGTTTTCTGTTTTCTTATGACATACAGAGCAAGAAAGGTCCATTCTATCTAACGATGTTAATGGTATGCCACAGATGAATGAAAGTTCCGTATTCTGTTCGTAAATAGATACATCTTTATGTGTTGCTGACAATGAAATAGGTGAGTATCGACAATTTTGGCTTTGATAATATGTGATAAAATGTGAAGATAACATTGAGCAAAGATTCGTAAGTGTTGATTTACTTTCAATGATTTTCACAGCATCGTTTAAACTGTTACATGTGCGGAAGTCATTTTGTTGAATTTCACTTATTGTAAAGGAGCAACACTGAGCAATTGCATAAATAAAGTTACTATTACAAGTTCTTGTACGTTCAAGAATTATCAATCGACTATTCGCAAATAATTTACATAGCGTTTCACCATTACCAATAAGTTTTGTCATGGAATTGATTCTCCAGCGTTGTTTAATCTTCGTCGCTAATACTAGTTTATTATCTGCATTTGGCATGATCAATATAAAGGCAACTACATCGTAAATTGTTGATGATGAACAGCCAATATTAGTTTTCTCTAAAAAAGATTGAAAAAAAAATGCATTTGGTGGTTTACGTAAAACTCTTGATGAAATATTGTTATAATCAATACGAAGAATGATTACAGATGGACCTAATACAAATCATAAGATCAATGTTTTTCACTAAAAAATTATTGATCATCTTACATTCAAGTAATTTTATACGTCGAGACATAGTCATTGAACATTTATCACATAGATGATCAGATATGGAACCATCAAAGTAACTGTTGAGTCGATGACGAATTTGTGATTGTACTTGTACCATGTTTATTGGAATGTAACTAGTATTAAATCTGGTATATACAGTGAAGTTACAAGACGTACAACAATATGCTTTAACCGCAGGTATGTAACGATCAATAATTGGAAGAAGAATCTTGTGAAGAATAAAATTTAATTGTTCACTACCGTCATTTGAAACATCAGGCGGTACCTGGAATTTACTATTCAATAATTGCATCAATTCGGCACTATTTTTTTTTTGTTTTTGGTGGTTTAATACGTTCGGAAGATGATACTCATTGAGCAATGAAATTAATTATATCATTAATTAACGGTGTTGATATTTTTGATGATAATGATGATGATTCACGAATCAATTCAATCGAAATCAATGTTTCAATAGCAACATTTAGCCAATTAGGAACAGGTAGATGTGGTACGGAAAGACCATCATTGATTGTTGTTGAATATACTACCAGTGTATATTTTAAATTATTCATTATTGATGTATCAGGCTTCTTCGCATAAAATCCGTGACCACGACGATTATTTTTTCTCCAGTTTTCTGTCAACTGTTTCAGCTGTTGTTGATGAGGTTCATTATTGGTATCCTTAGGTGATGTAGCCATGTACGAAAGAGCGAAGTTTTCAATCAACTTTTCGCATATCTTGAGTAAGTATTTGTAAAACTACATCAGCACGCATATAGGTCTGAGTACCTTTAATAGGTTGAGAAATCTTGCTTTATATATTATTCTTAATAGGAATTAAAGTGCATACCTAGTTGTGTTCGTTTGACAATGGCCATACGTCTTTCCGATATAGCATTCGTTCTCTGATCATGTGTATTTAACAGAAGTTTATCATATGCCAGAATTGATGATTTTATATGTCTTGATAAATTACCTAGCATGTAAAATAAATGTTAAAAGACTTGTTGGTCAGAGAAAAATATCTTTACCCAATAACAAGTTAGACCATATGGCAACCGTTGGTATACAATGTTGGTTGATATACGCAAGCCATTGGCTTACTGATTTTACTGCTTTATTCACCGATGAGGAAAACTCGGCAGTTGATTTTACATTATCTTGGTAGCATTCATTGTAAATTTGTTGAAGATCCTTCTTAAAATTACTATCCACTTCATTTAGTTGTTTTTCTTCATCGATTATCTATCGACAGTATTTAAAAATATGATGATGTTTTTCAAAAGATACTACAGAAAGTCATCTATCAAAAAATAATATATGCACGAGTTATAGAAAAAAGACGTTTCTGAACTTGAATCAAGATTGATGGACAATTAAAGTAAAACATTTAAAAAGGGGCAACCTTGTTATAATCAATAGATGGATTTTGTGAGAGTTGATGTTATGTCAGAAGATTTTGAACCATTACAGAGCAATAAAGATGTTACCCTATTATGCCTCAGAAAAATACTCTATTGAAACTTCATGATATCGATTAGTATAATTCGATATAATAGCAAAGTGCAACATTATGCATGGTTGAAAGAAAAAGTGTTAACTGAAATTTTGAGTGTTCTCCACCTTACGCATATATCATAGAAATGATAGATAATTTAGATTGATAATTTCATTCTAACTGAACGCAATCAACTTATTAAATCAATCAGCTATACTCTTATGGCAATCTGTTAGTAATTAATAAAGAATACATTAAATATAGTTTATAGTGGTTTTTGCCTAAGACTAAGAAACTACGATATGGAAATATTTTTTCATAGATATAAAACATGCAAAAAACGTCATCGCGTTACGTAAAATTATTATAGGACGGAATCTTTCTCTGGGAAAAGTAGGTATATTAGATAGCTCATAAAAAACTAGCTTTAGATATATATTTTTTGCCAAAAAAAAATAAAGACCAACGAATGAAAAAAAAACAATACTCATTTTTCGTTACGCGATGACGTTATAAAGTGGGTAGTTTTAGATAAGCTCCTTACAAAAAAGTATAACACATACAAAATCATTCGTTATGTCAAAAGACACATCTGCTATCATAGTCTTGATCAGCCTTAATCAACTTTTTTGATTTCAAACTGCTTCGATATATGGGTTGGGTTCATTAGCGGTCTAAATAGAAGAATTTTCTATAACTGTGAGTGATATCTCTGTTACAAATTATCAAATACACTTTGACATAGTTATTAATGGAACAAAATATATTCCCCTACACTTTAGACCATGCTCTACAAGGTGGTGACAATGAATTTCGTATATGATGAATTCAAACTTCCGGTCTTGAAGTTACGCGTTACGCGCTCAAGCCGAAATATATTTTAAATTTATATGTTACTATTTGATGTATACCACTTTGTATTGTTGAATTTATTGCTGATATAAGTACATTTGTTGTATCATTTGACTAAAAGGTTCGTATGAAAAAATATATGAAAAGGACAGGGGCGCATAAGAAGCCGATTTGGCCCATATAATATTTTCAGTGAATTTATTGCCCATCCTAGGTGGAAACATGTGGTGATTCTTTTGGTAATACTTTCAAGTCAAGCTGTAAGGATTATAAGTCACTTTGAGGGAGAATACCTGCAAAAAAGTATTGAAGTTTCATTGGGCTCATAGTTGTCTAGTATTAGCTCAAAATATACGACTTTTAGACAATGTTTCAAGCTCAATTCATATTGGTTAGAAAGAGCATTTAATTCTGCATCGTTTCATATAAGAACTACTATTTTTTCATTAAAAATTTAATCATGGAAAATACTGTCCTTTCACAGGGGTATGCTTCGGAACCTCACATCCGAACAATAATTAGAACTGTTTTACATTTTTTTACGTGTAAGCCAAGCTTTCTTAAATACCATTCGATAGAGCGAAGAAAGAGCTACAAAATGATGCATAATTGATTTGATTGCAATATGGGCCACTATATTGAAAGTGTGTATGAATTGTTTGGCAGCACAAAAAGTGCACTTTTCTGCTCATTATTGAGCGAATTTGATAAGAATAATTCGACTTTTGATAGACGAAAATGGTATATTTTAAATCAGCATAAAAAACTGAGTCGATCCATATAGCTTTGAAAATTTTCTGAGTACTTTTATTTTCGTCCAAAAATTCAGCTGGGGTCCCCTCAGGGTTAAGGTCAAAAAATGAAATCCATTAAAACAGTGTTTTTATTTATTAGTCATTTGTGTTTTTTAATTTTCCTAACTTTTAAGAACTGCAGAACATATTTTTCACAGTCCGAATGGCGTTTCAACAGTTTTCATTTTTTGACCTAACCCTGAGGGGACCCCAGCTGAATTTTTGGACGAAAATAAAAGTACTCAGAAAATTTTCAAAGCTATATGGATCGACTCAGTTTTTTATGCTGATTTAAAATATACCATTTTCGTCT